CAGGGAGCCCGATGCGGGGCTCGATCCCAGGACCCTGGGATCATGACCTGAGCTGAAGGCAGACGCTTAACGACTGAGCCACCCAGGCACCCCTAGAACAAATATACTTTTCAAGAAGAAAACTGAGCATGAAATAAGTAGAAAGGGGTCAACTTAACAAGAGGATTTTATAATCTTAAGTATTTACACACAAAATAACAGATCTTCAAAAATGCAGTTTTTAAAAAACCTGAAATAATTGAAAGGAGAAATAGGCAAATCCATAAGTATAGCTGGAGACTTCAACAGTTCTCTCTTGGTTACTGACAGAACAAATAGAGAAAAGTAATCAATAAAGAGAAGGAAACAACACCATCAGCCACCTCAACCAAGAACAGAAATCATATTCGTTTTAAGCACACATGGAATATTTCCTCAAATAGACCACATACTGGTCCATAGACTAGATTTTAATAAAATTAAAATAATTAAATGCCATACAAAGTATGATCTCAGACCAAATGGAATTAAACTAGAAATTAGTGACAGAAAAATTTCTGAAATATAACCAATATTTGGAATTAGCCCTCTTGTAAATAACCTATTGGTCAAAATGAAATCAGAAAGGAAATTAGAAAATATTTGAAATTAGACTTAATTATAATATCAAAATTTGTGGGCCTCAGTTAAAGCACTTAGTGAGAAATTTAAAGCATGAACATATGTTAGAAAAGAGGAAAGGGCTCAAATCAATGAATTAACCTTTCATGTTAAGAAATTGAAAAGGGAAGAACAAATTAAACCTCAAGCAGCAAGGAAAATGATAATAAATACAGAAATCAATAAAATTTTAAACAAAAAAGTAGAAAACATAGGGAATATCAACAAAATCAAACCTGTTTCTTTGGAAAAATCAATAAAAGTATAAACATCCAGTAAGAATAATCAAATAAAAGGAAGAAGATACATACTACTTATCTTAGGAATAGAACACACTACTACAGATCAAGTAGACATTAAAAGACAATAAGGAGAAATTAGGAAAACAAACTTATGCTGCTAAATTTGGTAACTCAGATGAAAGTATCTTTGATTCTTTGCAAGATAAATGCAAACTACCAAAGCTTATTAAGAAGTAATAGATAACCTGAATTATTCTAAATCTATTGAAATAATTACATTCCTAGTTCAAAACATCCCCATACAGAAAAATCTAGGCCTAGAATTTTCCAGAAAGTTTTCAAATGAATACTGATTTTGCACAATGTCTTTCACAAAATAGAAGCTATAGGGACACTTTGCAGGCCACTCTAAAAGGCCAGTATTACTCTGCTACAAAATCAGAAAAAGAGTTTCCAAAAAAAAAATTAGATCAATATCCCTTATAAACATAGGCAGAAAAATCCTTAATGTTAGCAAATTGAATCCAGGAATATAAAAGAAGTGTAAATACATCATGATCCAATAGGGTTTATCCCAAGAATGCAAGTTGGTTTAGCAAAAATCAATCAGTGTGACTCACCATATCAACACACCTTTCAAGATAAAATCACGGGATTGTTTTACTAAAGTATTGAATAAAATTTAACATCCATTCACTATAAAACCCATAGGAATAAAAGGGAATGGCTAAAAGATATGTAGTTAGTGGTTCAAGACTGAATGTTTTCTGCCTGAAAGAAGGAACAATAAAAGGATGTCTCCTCTTACCACTTCTATGTAGGATGGTAATGAAGGTCCTAGAAAGTACAATAAGGTAACACATGGAATATTTCGATGTCTTAGTGAAAGATTACAAACTAGCACCAATTCTCATTCCTCCCTTTTCCCCAGCTATCTAATGGAAGAATGCACAAAGTTTATCTTATGCATTTTTGCATCACCAGCATCAAGTACAACACCTAATACAGAGGTGGGCACAATTAAATAAAAAACAAACAGTAAATAGCCAGCTACTTTTGCAATTTATTTTTGCTTAAACTTTTATTTTTTAAAAAGTTGTTTAACTGAAAACATGCTGCTGATTTTACTGATTTACTGTGTTCCTATCTTCTTTTTCTTTCGATTTATTTTGTTCTTAACAACTGAATTGTCATTTGACTTACTAAGTAATAAGAAAATACATTGTATTTCATTTTTGAGTCCTTTAAAAACCAGTTTTCTGGATACAATTTTTCATGTTCAATTTTCTGCTAATCTGGGAAGCACATGCTTCACAATTGTGTCCATATGTATTAGTTTTAGAAAACCTAAATGATTTATATCAATTTTTATTTCTGTTCACCATAAATTACAAACTCTCCAATCATGAAAACTATTGTCACTAAATCATTAGATATCCTTAATATATTCATATCATACAAAAATGGCCTATGATTATTTAGAAACTGTTAATAAAACTTGAAAATATTACTTGAACACAATAATAATTCACAACTCTTAGGTGTATATCAGTCAACTGCTTAATCTTTTGTGTTAGTTTTAAAAGTCTCATTTTTAAGGCAGTTATCAGTGTCGAACAAATACATAGTTTAATTAGAAGGTGATTTAAGAACTTTTTTTTTTTTTAGATTTTATTTATTTATTTGACAGAGAGAGACAGCGAGAGAGGGAACACAAGCAGGG